ATCTTTTGAATCTGGATGATCTGTTGATTGTTTAGGGCCTGTCTTAGTTTGTAGAATTCTTCAAATAGAAGGTTATATAATGGTGGCCTTAGCTGTTTGAAAAAGTTGCACAAAGAATGGCGCACGAAGAAATGTCTCACCACCTAGAATTGCGCACGGCCACAAATCTCGCACACAACAATCTCGCACAAGGAGAATGACGCACGGGTGAAAATCTCGCACAAAGAGTATGGCGCACGGTGATTTTTAGAAAATGGTGCACAACAACTTTGAGAATAGCGCACGGAGCTTGGTGAATGGTGCACGGGACTTTGGCGCAGAGCATCTTGAGAATGGCGCACGGACCTTTGGTGCAGGGAGAAAAAATCAGCTTAAGTTTCACGCACAACCTCTAACACGCAGGAAAGAGATTCACGCATGAAACGTTAAAACTGCTTCTTCCTCATTGAGATGCGCTAAAGTGCAGAATCGCCCTTCCTCTGCTTGACCTGTACGCCGATGATATGGCTGAGAAAAATACAGAGAATGAATCCTAGCAATCATAGAAACATAATCATGTATACATTTTCCTGTAAAATCGGTAAACACAGACAATCTGCAAATCGCTCGTGAGAAGAAAAAGGCGATGAAGTTTCGCGCAAGCTTCTTCTTCTCTGCTCCAATCGTTCGATCAGTCCTGCTCTGATACCAAGTGTTGGTCATTGTTATCACTATACTATATCTATATAATGATGTATGAAGATGGAGCTCTAGATGATATAGTGGAATCTTTCCATTGAAGAAGGTTTTACAGAATGATAAGAGAAACTCAGCGTACAAAACCTTCAACGTAAAATGAGCACTGCGGCTGAATAACTGGAAAGCCTCTCTTACGCTAACTTACTTACCTACGCATTCTACAAAGAGCATATATATAGCCTTGTAGAATGCTAGGTCAGCAATGATTGGACTCCTATAAAGAGGAGGCTCATTCCTATTTTGGTAATCCTACCATTGCCATTTAAGGCCTATTTGGTGTCTAATAAATTCTACAAAAAGGCTAATTAAAATACATGGATCACAATTATAAAATATCTCTAAGAGATAGCACTTGCTTAGCCAAATGCACAAATAGGACTTCCATGTTTCATAGGACTAAAAATGTACCTAGTTGACAAAATTACCCTTAATGAATTTCAAATTTTATTTACAATTAAAAATAATAAAAAATTAAAAACTCCAGAAGCCTAGCAGATCTGTCATGCTTTTGACGGAAAACAGGGCCACCCAACCGCCATGGCTTGAAAAAAGTCTGCCACCACCTAACCGCCGCCACTCCCATCTCCGCCGCTGATGTCACTCTAGACGGCACGTCAGCATCGTCGCCATCACTTCGAGCAGCACCCCTGGCAGGGTGGCACTACCGGTGCGGTCACCGGAAACAAATACTCCGTATTGTTCTGCCATAAAATGAATAAAAAAGGCAGTTTCTTCCATTATTGTTGGTGGTTAACAAAAAAGGACACTACCGGTGCTGTCACCGTTAATAAAAAATGAATAAAAAGAACAATTTCTTCCATTATTGTTGGCAGTTTGTGCAAGGAAACAAATTTTGTTCGGCCATAGTATAATAGGCAAATCTTCCATAAAAATGGCAATAATTTCAATTCATTGTAAAAAATAAAAGTTTTTCTGCTATAATAAAACTTCGATAGTTACATACAACTTCCACAAATTTGGCAAAATATGAAAAATATGGAACCAACATAAAAAATAGAAAATTGGGATTCTTTTACAGAAATAAAAATTCAACAAAATCAAAAACCAGAAATACACCGCCAATGTTTAAAAAAATTGTTTCCAAAATACAAGAATTTAATTAAATCAAATAAATCTACTAAAAACTGCTAAATACAAGCACACTAGAGGATGACGGAGAAGAAGATACCTGAACTCGACACACAATCGACGATGAGTGTGACAGTAGCAGTGGTGCCGATGATGCAGTTTTGGCGATGAGAAGATTGCGGCAAAGTTGGCTTAATTGGTGCGGCGGCGCAAAGAGAAAGGAGTGTGCCGCAGGGAGTAAATCGCAGGATATGTTGTGCGTGTGAAATTAGTTAGGGTTAGGACATTATATAAGAGGGTAAAATGGTAATCCGGAGTCCTATTTAGGGAATTAGAAACAATTAGTCCTATTTGTGCATTTATCTTTAATATTAGTCCTATATAAGACAATTACTTACTTTTTTTCATAAGATTGTCAAATGTTGACTTAAAAAATGAGCCTCCTTTAGATGAAGATGTTTGTGTCAGGGGAGGGGGTGCGTTACCATATTGTGCATGAAACTCATTATTTTCGTTTCCACTTAGCAAAATTATTTTCCATAATTTCAAATTTACCTTTCTTACCGGGTTGGGAGGAACTAGGCTCCTCGTTGTGGGTCTCTGGATTGCCCTCCTCCTCGGCCATCGCTGGATCGCCCTCCTCCGCATCCTCATCCTTGAGCTCTTCTTCGTCAATGGTGCTTGGGATGTCTTGTTGTTGGAAAAAGCGCCCATGTTGTTGGTCCAATAGTTGTTGTAATTGCTCATCGGACATGCAATCCGCATCTCTCCGTTAGTAATCTGTTTCAAAATCATCTCGGATTTGAGAAGAAGACCTGGCCCGTTCTTTACCTTTCATGAACTTTGATGATTCCTCGCAATCTCCTTCTTTCGGTTGCGGTTGAGGTTATCCATATCTATAGAAGCTCTACCACGTTCCATCTTAAAAATGTAACAAATATTAAATTCTAACAAATATGTTAATATTAGTACAATTCGAAATTTAAAAATGTAACAATATTAATGATAAAAATCTAACTACTTTAAATCTTTAATGGAAAAAAACGAACTTTTTCTAAAATAAAATTAGAACTTTTTTTAAAATAAAATTCACTAAATTAATAATTAACAACTACTTGACTAATATTAATAAAAAATGTATGAATACGTAACTATATTAATAAAATTCGAACTATTTTTTTTAAATAAAATTCACTAAACAAATTTTTTGGACTACTTTCAAACTACTAATTTAATAAACACTTAAATGTAACAATTTAAGAACTAAAAATTCTAAGTAATCAATCACACCTAAAAATTCGAACTAATTTAATAAAAACTTTAACGACAAATGTAACAATTAAGAAATTAACTACTTCAATGACAAATGTAACAATTAAGTAATGAACTACTTAATTAAACAATGTATGAATGTGTATACTAATTAAGGGGAGTAATAGAAAATATAAATATACTACTATAATATGAGTAATACACTTATATTTAATACTTTAATATTTATATATACTTAATATATTAATTAGATGTAATATAAGTAAATATAAGTAAATATAAGTAAATATAAGTAAATAACAACTATATAATAAGTAGATATTAAGTAGATAATATATGTATTTTATAACTTATAAGTAGATAATAACTATATTAGTAGATGTAATAATTGTATAACTAATATATAATATAATGTTTATAGTATATAAGATATAAGTATATTAATAGGAAACTAATATAAATAACCAAGTATATAAGTATATTAGTAGTATTCATATAATAGTAATAGGAAATTACTAATATAAGTATATAACAATACTACTATTAATTAATAGTATAATTATATATGAAAATTTAAATACAATATATATTATTAGAAATAATAAGAATAGTAATAATAATTAAGAAAGTGGAGAAGAGTAGTAGATGAATATGATGAAATTGATGAATATAGAAGATGATGGAGAATAAGAGAGTAGAGAATGATTTGTATGAAAAAAATGAAATAAATAGGTATTTATACAAAAATTTCCCCCCCACCCCCAACCCCCCAGGACCCCCCCCCCCCCCCCCCCCTTGCTCTCAATAATAATGGGTAGTGAAATAGAGCCGTTTGAGAGCTCCCCACCAGATATTTATTTTTAAAAAATTAAAGTTACCATTAGACCCGGGCCCGACCCGGCCGGGTCGGGTCACCAAAATCCAGTCCCAGAACCACCCCGCTTTCATTCTCGGGCCGGGCCTAGGCCCGTAACCGTTACCCGATGCTCGGGTCGGTCCGGGCCCGCACAGTGGCGGGCCGGGCCTGTTCACGGCCGGTCGGCCCGGTCCCGGTCCAAGACTAATCTGCTTTGCAGGTGAATTTAGCTATCTAGGCTCCTAAGAAATCATCTATGAAATAATGAAAATCAATCAATGGTGAATATGGGTGTTTGAATCGCTTGTTGCGATCCTATTTAGGCGGGAGGAGCGGGCTTTAGTAACAAAGAATAATATGACTTTACTTTACAATATCACTAATGAAATAATTACATAAATATGACCAAAATAAAGATGATTTACAAAAATATGACTAATGACTAGAGTAGTAATGAAATCATAGTAATTCATGTTTAAATTTTGAGGTTAAGTTACCACAACACCACATTGTAGTAATGAATAATCATATTTATGTAAATTTGTTTTATTTTAGTAATATTCTCGTAAAAAACTCTATCACTAATATCATGTATGCCCGTATTAATAGCTCTAGAAAAATTAAAATATTTAAACATGTAATAAAAAATTGTGTTCAATCCTTTTTTTTGCCACCAAAACCCTTTTAACAGTTTTTATTTTAACATAGAAATTTAATAATATGACTTCCAGATCACGTTAAACGGTTAAAGTTGGTTCAATTTCAATTCAATTTTTTCCCAATGAGTTTCTCTTTTTTTCGATTCAATTTTCGTTTTTTCAGTTCAAACTAACAGCCCTGCAGTATACCGGAGTACTACGTACCCATACGACTGGTAAAATCGAATCTGCCAACAGGGAATCATAATTAAGTTGATGAGACTAATTATTACTCCGTAAGTGACATCTTCTAGTTGGAATGAGTGGTGAACAACACACATGAAATTATGAAAAGGTAGTCAGGTAGAGAGGAATTGAACTCTTCGAGAGAAAAAAAATTAAAGCACCTCTAAAGCACCTTTTTTTAGGAATTGAACTCTTCGGGGTGGGGGTGGGGGTGGGGGTGGGGGGCATCAAAACAAGACAGACTTATTGAAATAATGAAAAGTCATTTACAGTCTCTACACTAAAGCACCTCTAAAAGAAGAATGGTCATTATACACACACAGCCTACAAAAGAAAAAGACATTTCCCCTCTGTTTTGGGCTGTGGCTAGTTCTCTTGAGTGGATATATTCACATATACAGACATAAAATCCTATTGCTCCCATTCTGCATCAAAGAATCCCGCATCCTTCATCTCTGAATAGTATGCCTCATCCAGAAGCCAATCTTCTTCCTGTATTGTTGTCCAGATAGAATAAGGATTAATATTCAAGTGAACCTCAAATCCATATGGAATGAGTAAATGGATTATAATAGGTACCTGAAAGAAGTCCGACAAAAAAACAGCATATATAAAGGGGAGATACAGTGCATGGTAACTTATAAGACTCAACTCATATAACCTGCATCATCATACTAAAATGAATCCCCCGCAACAATATTAATGTTTAGGTGATGGATTGCATAAGTGAATGATGTCATACCAGAGACCAAAGCCAGTCCCAATTCCAGCAAGCCCACAAGCAAATAATATCACAGCATTAGTCACAAACATTGCTATGACATAGTTGTAGAAGGCCGGTCTGGCTGCAAGTTGTTTTTGAAAAAGACTGTATTACAGCAAGAACATAATATAAATCATTAAAAGGAAACGAGAAGAGGACTGACTAATCCAACTCACGGGGCAGATTATCTCTCCACTTTGAGAAGTGCACAAACAATATGTACCCATAAGCTGCAGTTAGCAGAAGCCGATAGGTAAACCAGATGGCCCACTTTAGTCTGTTTGCTGATTCAACATCAGCAAAGAGTGGAATCCTAAATCCAAATATTAGAATAGCCTGCCCAACGAAAGTAATGTTATGGGGGATCAAATTATGTGCTTGTGATACTAAATTACGAGTACTAATTTTACATATATCCGAAATTCATATACACATATTTCCAACAAGTGCAAATAAATCATACGGAGTACTACGTAACTTTATTGCTTTACAGACAATTAACCATTTAGGAAAAGTGGAAAACAAATCCTCGATAAGGACGCGAGAGAAATATGGGACATGTGGTACAATTAAATGTGCCCCATGCTAAGAGCCTCTGAATCACATAAAGCAACAAGTTGTATAAATCGTTACTCATATACCAAGCCGGCTCCATTAGAAGCCCAGTCAATTATGTTTGTCAGCATTCTTGGATTATTTCAACAACTTAATGAATGCTCTAAACATTACTGTCTAGACGACGGAAAGCACAAACTTATTCATTTAAACTCAACAGTTATGTTTGAACCTCAACTATGTTCATGTAGGGGGCAAATGGAATAACCATAGTCTCACACCTTGGAGATGAAAAATCGTTACCTTCAGCAGAAAGTCTACACCAACAAGAAGACCAGACACAGAGAAAGTGCGTGTTAAAGTCTCCAATCCAGTAGAATAATTGCCATGAAGTAAGAATGACATTAGGCTAATCTCTAAACACAACATTCCAGAAGCTGCAAACAATGACAAAAGATTCCAAGCAACAACCTTCGCAGGATTGCACTGCCATGCCTGTAGTAAGAAGTTATAACCTTTCTTAAGAGAGCAATAATTCATTGATCAGTCCAGCCAAACAAAGTGTAGATGACTAGAAGAATACCATACTACAAATAAAGGTGCCCTTGATTCAATCATCTATACACCATAAGATGACTTCAATAATGCCCCAAACACCCACCCAACAAGAAGAAATGTTTGAAATCATCAAATGGGATTACAATCTAAGAAACTAAATGAGCATGGTAAACCACAAAAAGGTTACTCCTTTGCCCTTCCTGATTCTTGTTTTATCCATGGTTTGTTATGATCAATCAAAATACTTTGTTACTATAACAAAATCAATTTTAGTAGTCATTTAAAATCCAAACTTAAGTGTCTCTGGTTGTAGGAATTTTAATGATTGAACAATCTTTGGTCAAATGAGCCCGAGAAAGATCAAACTACATGACATTTTTTCATTTTCCCATAATTCCCCATGTAATGGAGCATCATAATTATTGATGCTACAAGAAAGTAGCTCAAACGCGGGGTTCTCCTTCATAATCTAATTCTAATGTGTTAATATGGTAAAATAAGAACAAGATCATTGAGAGAACAATAGCAAACAGTTGAAAGTTTCAAACAACAATCCGAAGTGTCAAAATTTAAAACAAAAATGATATTACCTGCAAAGATGACCAGGCAAGGTTTATTAGAGCAGTGACCCACAAGAGAGCATAATATGTAATCATGACATGATACCTTCGGTTCCTGAGTTTCTTTACGTTCCTCTTTACATGAAAACCTAAGTACAGTATAAACAGAGCTGAAGGTACGACTAAAGTAACATTGTGCCAGAGGCCACGGCACGTCGGGGCGGAAGAGCTGTACCACCGGGAAATTAAGTGATTGCCCGCGGCAGCAACGCTGGCTGTTGGCGCCGAAGCTCGATCTATCAATATGTCTACCGGAGTTGCAGACATCTTCGAAGAACTGGATAAAATAGACAAAACCCTTTGCAGATTGGATAACTAGGGGGTCTGGGATCGATTTCACGTGGAAACGTCCATCAGGAGAAAGATCGGGAACAGTGAGAAAGGGGGAAACTTGCGAATTGCCGGGAATTTGAGGGCCGGATTTTAGAAAATAAATTAATAATGTCAGCCCTTCCTTTTATCTTACGAAAACAATTACGTTCCTATTTTATCTTCTCGTTTTTTTCACACAATTTAAGATAGTTGGTATTGTATGGTGTAGAATTATGCAGAGGAAAGAGAAATGTGTAAAAAATGTTGTGAACCATAAATTCGTTACTAAAATGGGAAAATGGAAGTTTTAATTGGAACGAACGAAAAAGGAAAATCGGAAGTTTTAATAGGAACGGAGGGAGTACTTTCTTCGTTCCATAAAACTTGATCAAATTTTCTTTTTTATTGTCCCACAAAACTTTGTTTTTTCAATTAAAAAAAGAAATATGTGGTCAAAATTATTTCTCTTTCTCTGCGCGAATTTCAACGATACAGTTTTTACTTTGTAAGTCTACGTGCAAGTCAACTTTGGTAAAGTTTTATGGATGAGAGTGAGTATATATACTCCACCGGTCCACCAGTGACCTGACCACCTATCCAAATTTAAAATTTTTAAAAATTAAGATTCGACCTATTAACATAAAACAACTAATTCTTTTATGTATTGGAGCTTATAACATCTCATGATAAAATTATCGCTTAATTGGCACCAATAGATAAAATGAGTTCAATTGTTTTATTTTAATGAGTTGATTGATGTATTTGTAACGTCTTCAATGGTTAATTAGCTCAGAACGAGAGATTTTTCAAACCGTTTGGACATGACTATTGCCCCTGATGGGATATTAAGGTCCGGTCCAATACGGCGGCCCAAAAATATCCCTCGAGCTCAGACGCAAGGGATCGGAAGGCGCAAGGAAAATCATCAAGCCCGAACGGCAAGCCCCGTTCGGCACATCCCGAACGGCAAGCCCCGTTCGGCACATCCCGAACGGGGTATAACTAGCACTTGGACAATTAGTTTATTCCCTAATTGATGGCTTAGCTGAGCTTAATCCCGAACGAGAGTTGCTCAAGTGAGCGACTGCAGTTAATGCTGGATCATGGAGACCTCAAGTGGAATGGGAGGCAACCAATCATATTAGAGCACCTCATACCCCCCACATAACTCCATCTAGTATAAATAACAACATTTAATTCATTATAAGGGTTATCATTTATTTACTCACAAGGTTATATTGCATTCTAGCTCCTGTATTAGATTTTGGACCGTAACTACCGTTCGGCCATTTCCGTGTAATCACTATTACTGTGTTAATACAAGCAAGACTATTTGCGTGAATCTATCAGTTTTTATATTTCTTTTATACACATTACTGTAGCAATCCAACCCTAGATCCAAGGTTAGTGTTGGGCTTTCGGGTCATTCGCGACTTAACCTCAATATTGGCGCCGTCTGTGGAAACTTGGACAAAAAGTTTCAAAGCCACCACTTAACTAAGCAAAAACCTACATACAAAATGGTCAAAATCACCTCCCATCACACGTGTGGAAGTTCAGAGAGATGCGAGGACAACATGACACCAGGGAGCTAGACTGCTCAGGGACGATCCAGCGAGGCATCCTACCAACAGTTTGATGGGGACTTCTTTATCCCCGAGGCACTCAGGAGAAACCCCCCATGCCATGCGAGATCTTGCCAAGGTGATGCAGCAGATGGCGGATGAGCAGGATGGGGGGCAATCCAGCTACACAACGGAAACCGCGTACACGCCCCTAACTCCACTCCAACAGATGCAATCATTTGATGAGGAAACTACTGATACATAAACAACCAAGGCTTCCGTCTATCCACGTGACCATCGGGGAGATCACTGAAGGGCTCATGAAACTGGGGGTAGGCAGCACACTCCTAGTGACTGCACCCCGATCGGGTCCCAAGCCAGTGGAGCCACATCAGTTGGCCCCAGATTCCAGTACGAAGAACGTGATGGCACCAGGATCTTATGAAGACTTCAGAATCATAATGTGCCCCGACCAGAGAGAAACCCAGAATTGGTGGATCTGAGAACTCCACCACCACCTCCCCGTATGGCTCATGAGGAGGAAATGACCGAAATGAGGAGGCAGATGACTGATTTGAGAGAGAAGGTAAACAGAACACCCCCTACAACCCACCCCGGAACAGGTCGGGATCACTTCCCCTTTTACCAGAGAAATAATGAATGCTGAAATCCAGAGGGATGTCAGACCGCTGAACGGTCAGACATATGATGGGGCAGGGGATCCCCATGTACGTTTGAGAAGTTATCAAGGAGGGCTCATGTTGTTGGGAGCGACAGATGCGGCCATTTACAGGCTATTTTTCAGCACACTCAGGGGGCCCGTCCCAGAAGTGGTTCGGAACCCTACAGCCTCGATCGCTCGGCAGTTTCGCCAAATTGTCATCTTTGTTCTTGGCCCAGTTTGGTTCTAGTGCCACCCCTAAACGACTCTTCAGTTACCTGACCAGTGTCAAGCAGGGGCCAAGAGAGCCCATCAATCAATTTTTGAAAAGATGGAGAGACGGATCTCTGAAGGTCGGAAACATGACGGAGGATACTGTCATTACCCTCTTTATTGATGCCCTACAGACCGGGGAACTTTACAGGGACCTGAAGAAGAACCCAGGGAAGGCATATACTGAAGTGCTGGATATGGCCTAGAAGCATGCTGCCCTTGAGCAAGTGATTATGATTAGGGATATCCCAAACGGGGTATAATTAGCACTTGGGCGATTAGTTTATTCCCTAATTGATGGCTTAGCTGGGCTTAATCCCGAACGAGAGTCTGTCATTCTGTCAAGTGACCGACTGCAGTTAATGCTGGATCATGGAGGCCTCAAGTGGCATGGGAGGCAACCAATCATATTAGAGCACCCCATACCCCCACATACCTCCATCTAGTATAAATAACAGCATTTAATTCATTATAAGGGTTAGCATTTATTTACTCGCAAGCTTATATTGCATTCTAGCTCTTGTATTAGCCTTTGGACCGTAACTACCGCTCGGCCATTTCCGTGTAATCACTATTACTGTGTTAATACAACTATACAAGCAAGACTACTTGCGTGAATCTATCAGTTTTTATATTTCTTTTATACACGTTACTGTAGCAATCCAACCCTAGATCCAAGGTTAGTGTTGGGCTTTCGGGTCATTCGGGACTTAACCTCAACATTGGCGCTGTTTGTGGGAAACTTGGACAAAAAGTTTCAAAGCAACCACTTAACTAAGCAAAAACTTACATACAAAATGGTAAAAATCACCTCCCATCACACGTGTGGAAGTTCAGAGAGACGCGAGGATAGCACGACACCAGGGAGCTTGACTGCTCAGGGACGATCCAGCGAGGCATCCTACCAACAGTTTGATGGGGACTTCTTTATCCCCAAAGCACTGAGGAGAAACCCCCATGCCATGCGAGATCTTGCCAACATGATGAAGCAGATGGAGGATGAGCAGGATGGGGGGGCAATCAAGCTACACAGCAGAAACCACGTACACGCCCACGTCTCCACTCCGTTGGATGCAATCATTTGATGAGGAAACTGCTGATACGTAAACATCTAGGGCTTCGGTCTATCCACGGGCCCATCGGGGAGATCACCGAAGGGCTCGCGAAACTGGGGGTAGGTAGCACACGCCTAGTGACCGCACCCTGATCGGGTCTCAAGCTAGAGGAGCCACGCCAGTTGGCCCCCGATTCCAGTACGAAGAATGTGATGGCACCAGGTGTAATACTTGAGATTTAATTTAAACGGATTAATAGTACTACTCATACCAACAAGGTGCATCTCCTTTTAAGGAAGCTCATTAGCCAAGAACTCCAAAGTTAAGCGTGCTTGCACGGGAGTAGTCTTGGGATGGGTGACCCCCTGGGAAGTTTCTCAGGACGCGCATGAGTGAGGACAAAGTGCGCGGAAAAGGCTAGTGGCGGTTTGTGAGGACAGTACTAGAGGTCCGAAGAGAGTTTGGAGTAACTACCTTGGGTCCTGCGGGGCCGGGGTGTTACAAATGGTATCAGAGCAACCCTGCGACAGTGTGCTGACCCGTTGGATATTGGGCGGGCACTTAGCGGGGGAGGATTCTGGGATTTGATTGAGATTTGAGATTGGTTGATGGGCGCAACGAGGACGTTGCGTTCCTAAGTGGGGGTGATTGTAATACTTGAGATTTAATTTAAATGGATTAATAGTACTACTCATACCAACAAGGTGCATCTCCTTTTAAGGAAGCTCATCAGCCAAGAACTCCAAAGTTAAGCGTGCTTGCACGGGAGTAGTCTTGGGATGGGTGACCCCCTGAGAAGTTTCTCAGGGCACGCATGAGTGAAGACAAAGTGCGCGGAAAAGGCTAGTGGCGGTTTGTGAGGACAGTACTAGAGGTCCGAAGAGAGTTTGGAGTAACTACCTTGGGTCCTGCGGGGCCGGGGTGTTACACCAGGATCTTACGAAGACGTTAGAATCGGAATATGCCCCCACCAGAGAGAACCCTAGAATTGGTGGATCTGAGAACTCCACCACCACCTCCACGTACGGCTCATGAGGAGGAAATGACCGGAATGAGGAGGCAAATGACTGAATTGAGAGATGAGGTAAACAGAACACCCCCTACAACCCACCCCGGAACAGGTCGGGATCACTTCCCCCTTTACCAGAGAAATAATGAATGCTGAAATTCAGAGGGATGTCAGACCGTCGAACGGTCAGACATATGATGGGGTGGGGGATCCCCATGTACATTTGAGAAGTTATCAAGGAGGGATCATGTTGTTGGAAGCGACAGATGCGGCCATTTGCAGGCTATTTTTTAGCACGCTCAGGGGGGCCGCCCATAAGTGGTTCGGAATCCTGCAGCCTAGATCGATCGGCAGTTTCGCTGAATTCTCATCTTTGTTTTTGCCCAGTTTGGTTCAAGTACCACCCCTAAATGACACTTCAGTTACTTGACCAGTGTCAAGCAGGGGCCAAGAGAGTCCATCATTCAATTTTTGAAAAGATGGAGAGACGAAACTCTGAAGGTCGGAAACATGATGGAGGATACTGCCATTATCCTCTTCACTTATGCCCTACAAACCAGGGAACTTTACAGGG